AGCACAATTTTATGCATTAGTCACTTGAATCATGAAATAGAAACTAAATACTTAGTAGAGTGGTTCTCATTAACCCGTGAAACAAAGTGTAATAGTCAGAGTGTAATAAAGTGTAATAGCCAAGAAATATAGTAGAAAACAAAAGAGACAAAGTGTAATAAAGTGTAATAGCCAAGCAATATAGTAGAAAACAAAAGAGACAAAGTGTAATAAGTATAGTTTACAACATGAGCAGTCGTGGTGTATGGGAATTACAATCTCGAGCCACAGGCAAGATATTTTAATTCCCATACAACACGGACGCGAATGTTGTAAACGACTTATAAAACTCCAACACTAATTAACATGAATTACAGTGAGATAATGACGAAAAATGACAATTAAGGTAACTGCTGAGTTTAGTTGCTATTAAGCATGCGCAATTTACTCAACACACAACATTTTGAATAATTATCCATCCCACATGGAAAGCAAGCCATCTGTTGCATAAGCGAGTACTGTTAACCGTCTTTGATTGCTTCAAAACCTTGTGAAGGTCTATGATGCGATACTAAAATTGAAACCTTTGCTATTGTTGGGTTGTCTCAAGGTGACAACCGTGTTGTAAATCTTATACAACACTAGTGTTGTATTAGATTTACAAGGTCAATCACCTGATTAAATGGACAGCCCTTATTGGAGTAATAGCTCATGCATTATTAAGTTTTATAAAGTGTATTATAAAACGTATTATAAAACGTAGCGACTAAACTCTGCAGTTACCTTAATTGTCATTTTTCGTCAATTATCTCACTGTAATTCATGTTAATTAGTGTTGGAGTTTTATAAGTCGTTTACAACATTCGCGTCCGTGTTGTAAACTATACATATGCTAAAGTGTATTTCACGGGTTAATGAGAATCACTCTAACTAATAGGCACTATTTAGACACTATCAATTAACCAGAACAGTACAAAGAGATTATGTTGATTGTTAAGGCTGATTTACACGGCACGATTTGTCGCGCGCGACTTGTAGTATACGATTTTCCTACTACAAGTCGTAGGATTTTAAGCAGTGGTTCAAAATCCTACTACAAGTCGTCGGTTGCTTACGCTGTTGTAGACAAGTCGTAGGGGCATTTACACTGCGCGATTCAAGTCGTACACTACAAATCGCACGAGACAATCGTGCCGTGTAAATCAGGCTTTATAGTGGCCCTTTGGGTATTGCCTATAGATTGGTTCAAATAAACTGTTCTGGTTCAGTGCTAACACTACTAGGAACTAATAGTGCCTAATTTTAGTTTTTATTTCATGGTTCATTTGACTCTGCTCTAATGACTTTGTGGTTGTATTGAATGTATATTCACCAACAAAAAACAGTTTTAAAGCAACCATATTTTAATGTCAGCTTGTAAACCACTGTTTCCAACGATAAGGATGTTGTGAAGAATCTTGTAATTTGGAAATACAAGAGCAATATTAAATATGAAATCAAATTTGTTTTTATGTTATGTTATGTTATGTTAAGTTATGTTGGGTTATGTTATGTTAGGTTATGTTATGTTATGTTAGGTTAATTTATGTTATGATATGTTATGTTATGTTAGGTTATGTTATGTCATGTTTGCATGGCAACATATGTTGCCCCACCATACAAGAAGGGTTTCCCATTGCACCATGAGATGAAAGAGGAAAGCTCTGTTCATGCTCTATAATTTGTTTGCTTAGCATTGATTTTTTTGTTCCAATCACAATTTTTGATTTACCTCACATAGTGAAATGAATGTCATACAAATTTTAAAACATTGTCAGAAAATCATCATAACCATGTAACTGTTTTACACTCAGAAGCTTTGATGCAGTTATAGGCAGAGGTTTTWCTATATCTGCCAAGCAGCAAGGAAGGAATCTCATCTCACAGCATACATTTTAAGAAGGTATGTCTGCAAAAGGTTGTGAAAATCTGTTTTATGCATAAACCAATAATCTCAGTCTATATTGAAGCATTTACTTGTATCTACAAATAGTTACCTAATACACAAGTACATACTAATGCTAACTACAGTAATGAACCAACTTCATGTTGATCTTCCAAATCTAGTAATAGGGCCGTCTTGGATTGTTCTRCAAGAAATGTATAAAACACAACAGTCAATGACTGAATGAAGAAAGTTTGGAATTCAATGTTTCTCAAACCACAACTAATTTAGGTTAATTTAACTAAGGTTATGTTAATCCACAAGGATCGTGTTTAGTCCATTATATATTTATTAAATTAAATTATCTCACCAAAGGATTTGGTCGAAACTTGTATGCCAGCATCATTCGTTTCCGATACAAATCAAATTCATCATCTTCTTCCTTTACTTCACCAACTTTTTCTTCACCCAATCCTCCAGATCCTCCAGATGGTGTATAGCTCCTATAAATATTACCATTGAGTGAGAAGTAAGAAACGAAAATGAGAGCAACATTAAGGTTAACAGAGTTAACGAGAGTTTAGTACACTTGCCCAAAGGCCGACAAAAATATAGCGCTTATTTGACAGTGCACATCCAGTGAACATAAATTACTGTTCCAAAGGAATCCCGAGTTTAGGTTTCAGCCTTTTTGTGGTTACTCCGTCTATAAGACGGGTAATCCACAGCACACAGCACGTCAAATATCAATTGTCATGAAAAACCACAATATATATACAAGGATTTTTGAACTTGTTCTTTGATGTACGTTTTCGAGTGTGAATAGCATCCAATCGTATGATCTCGTTGCATGAATATGCACAGTTAGCATCGTTATCACATGCGTCCACCATGACATAGCATTGCCATGGCAACTAGCTAACAATACTGCCAAACTATAACTGCCAAAAACAAATCAAATACAAACTAAATAAACCCCTTTGTGGGTTAAATCAACCTCTTGAGGATCAACCAAAACAAAGAGTCTAATTATAAGAACTATTTACATTTCATAATGAAGCTTTAAGTTTAAAAAAACCTTTTAAAGACATCTCCATTTGCAAATATTAAAATATCACAAAGAGTAAGTAATAACAATTATCAGAAACCTTTCACAATTAAATGTAAACTGCAGTACATTATTGATGCAAGTTAGTCAGCACTCTGATGGACATTGCATAAACACTCTACCTCACAGATTCATATTTCTGATCACTAAATTACATTAATGTTATCCTCTGACACGCCTTTCGTGGTAGGCTCATACTAAAAGATGCTCAGCGTAATTTTCAGAACGTGCTGGTCCACGAACTCAAAGTTCTTACTACTTCTTGAATGATTCAAATCATCAAAATACTACTCAAAGTTATAACACTGAGAAAACTGCAAAGACTGTACCGTTTCTATTGTTTATTATCAAATTTGCATATTTTGAATAATCTAAACGCTCTTAGAGTGTAAAGTCGGGCTAGCTATTTTGGAAAACTGAGAAAGAGTTTAGTTTGGTAAAAAATTATGATGTAGTAAATAACTTAAGGTTTTCTTGACTTATTTAAAACAAAGTCTGTATCGTGAAAATTATATAGTTATAGCTCTATGGCGACAGCTGACCAATTGTCGTAGCTTCAGGAAGCCCATATTTTCTGCTTTACCCTTTTGATAGTATTGATATTAGGGTTCAATAGAGTTCAATACTCCATTTTCGAATTCAAAGCAGATACAGTTACAATTGAATCAGCCCTCGCAGTTAGTCCAGGACTATTCGAGGCGAGGGTGACCAAACAAGAAGAAAACTAGTATAAAAATATAAAAAAATCACAGTTTTACAAGGTAAAAAAAGAGAAAAAAGTGAGTGATAAGGGGAAAAGTACGCAATATTAGAAAATTATTCAATAAATATCTTAAAAGATAATTTTAAAACGACAGAGGTGCTCGTCAATAATCTGGTCGATATCTAAAAAATCGTCTGCTTTTTCTAAAATGCTCTTAATCAATGTCTTGGATTTGAACTTGTTGAGACTTATTGAGACAACAGATTAACTTGATGTGCAAAGACCTTACTGAACACATAAGAAAGCACGAGAAACAGCAGTTATTACAAAAGCCTTGAAAAATTGCAATTTCCCGCAGTTGAGGCTAACCCGGTATTCCTGAAAGGTCTAAAGTAAAAGTAAGGAGTAAGGACTTTGAGTAAGAGAATCACCTGTCAAATAAAACAGCGGTTATTCGATTTGAATTCGAAAATGGAGTATCTCTCAGATAACTTTCCAATAATACGCCATAGCCTACACCTTTGAGCTAATATCAATCAAAATAATCATTTTTGTTTGTATCTTACTTATTGATGGGTGCAGTAATTCCTTGGCCTTTTGATCCCAAACCRGTGCCCTCTGTCCAGCCAGCCTTCTTAAGCATTTGATAACCAACATTTTCTTCTGTAAGTTTGAACTCTGCATAATCACTGAGATCAATTTCTTCAAGGCCTTTTTCCCCCTTAACTGCTTTTACTTTTGCAATAAACCTCTTTAACTCATCAGGAGGGAGGAARTCACCAATGTGATGCTTTCCTTTGGCTTGATCTGTTAGCTTTTTGGCCTCCTCTAGAAAAACAAAGACAAGTCTGAACTGCTTATCAAACACACAAAACAAAAGGAAACATGTTGTCAAAACTTTGCTTGYAAAACCCTTTCCAAATTTGGGTACTCTCTTGGCCACCAAAACTTTTCACAGTTTCCAACTACCGTAACCAGTTGGACACAGTAAGTTGRACACAGTAGGTCATGCAATTTATGTTAGAAAATTCATGGGTCATCAAGCCATTTCTTGTTCTATTAAGCAGTCTATGTACTTATTTCACTGTGTATAATTATTAATTATCTTCTTCAGGATTTTGTGGAAGAATGGAAGTAAGTCCAGGTTAAACCAATTTGTCATGCTGAAATGCATGATTGTAAGGGATTTAACAACTGTCAGTGGCAAATCAGCAAATCTAGTGGATCAAACAGGGAGAATTTGTCATGGAACTGCCCTCTGATACACAGATAGCCCGCAATCATTTTTTGCATATTTTGTTAACATAGTTAAAAGAAAAATCAAATAATTTCTCATCTTGAAGTAATGGATCTAGTTTTAAACTAAGATACTCAGTATCTTAGTTTATCTTAGTACTGAGTATCTTAGTTTAAAACTAGATCCATTACTTCAAAGATTAAATTTTCTAAGTCCTTTAATGTCAGAGCTATCAGTGTTTCTCAAATAATTTCTTTTAACTATTTGTTTAAAAAAAAACAATAGATAATTATACACAGTGAAATAAGTGTTTTTTTTTGTGTGTGTGTTTGTTTACTAGTATTTAAGTGACTTGAGCTGGGTAATGATATTAGTGTTGGAGCTTTGTACGGCATACAAAAAAACTCACAGCATATGTTTCATCGAGGAGTAAAACCCCACTCTGTAACATTGTGTTCATGGTTTTCTTTTAAAATACTATGTTTTTTGGTGCCTACTACAAAGTAGTAGACACTATGCTATCAGGTCGAATGTATATGAGTAAGTAAGAATTATGTGTAACAATAGAATGACGTCAAAATGCAATCAATATCCCTTTTGATGACCCATATCCACAGGAAGCCGTCAGAAGCGATCAGCAGAAGATATAACTTTAGTGTGAAGTACTGCCGAAAATTCTTGCAACCAATGTGAACCAATCATCTCTGCCGATTCATGAACAAGATCATGAAAATTCTGTGTTTATTTGTCTCGACCTAGAATACGCCAGCTGAGTTTTCCACTGTGGTTAAATTGGAATGTAGGGTCACGTGTGATTGACGCAACTGGTGCACTGTTCGTCTGATTCACATTCAAGTTGAGGACCAGTGATTACGTGTACGAGTGATTCGAATCCTGTGGACTCAGCACTTGTTCCAAGCTCAACACTAGTATCATTACCGCCGTCTTGTAACATTAGGCACAAATATTGTAGAAAAATGTTAATGAATGTGGTTTCAACCACTAAACACATTGCAACTATTGCAAATTCAGGGGAATATTCATTTCATTACAACACATACAAAGAACTATATGTATCTGCTTCACTTCAATTTTACAATTGAGTGCCTTTAATTTTACATTTTAGAGAAAGATAACCAGATACTGTTGTGCCACTTGATCTGTGCTTCATTCAATA